CTTTTTTCCACCTCCATCTCCCTCTGGTTTCATCATCTGTTCCTCATTTGATCTGTTCTCAGACAGCTCTCCTCTTTCCACAAGGAGCAACAAATTGCGATAATCTTTTTTTTTTTTTAACTTTTTGAGATGGAGTCTCAGCTATCGCACAGGCTTAAGAACCAGTGGCGCAATCTCGGCTCACCAGAGCCTCTGCCTTCTGGGTTCAAGCAATTTCGTGCCTCAGTCTCCCAAATAACTGGGATTATTAAGTGCATGCCACCACAGCTGGCTAATTTTTGCATTTTTAGTAGAGACAGTTTCAACATGTTCACCAGGCTAGTCTTGAACTCCAAACCTCAGGTGATCCACCTGCCTTGCCCTCCCAAAGCGCTCGGATTACAGGCATGAGCCACTGCACCCAGCCCTGGTGATAATCTTTTAATTGGAAAGGATGTAGATGGCTTCAGATGGCCACTTAAGACACAGAGAATGGACACAGGTAATAAACACTGGTGTTCCTGAGACACTGATCCCCCAACTCTGAGGGATGGTTCTGGTGAATTTCTCCTACACCAAACAGTTAAAGAAGGAAAAAAGAAACATTAGTAAAATAAATTCAATCTGAATCCTTGAAAAATAGTAATAGGCCAGGCACAGTGGCTCACGCCTGTAATCCCAGCATTTTAAGAGGCTAGGTGGGCGGATTACCTGAGATCAGGAGTCTGAGACCAGCCTAGCCAACATGGAGAAATCCTGTCTCTACTAAAGATACAAAAATTAGGGCCAGGTGCAGTGGCTCACGCCTGTAATCCCAGTACTCTGGGAGGGAGAAGCAGGTGGATCACGAGGTCAGGAGTTCAAGACCAGACTGGCCAACATGATAAAACCCCATCTCTACTAAAAAATACAAAAATTAGCTGAGCATGGTGGCTCATGCCTATAATCCCAGCTATTTGGGAGGCTGAGGTAGGAGAATTAATTGCTTGAACCAGGACCCAGGAGGCAGAGGTTGCAGTGAGCCAAGATCACGCCACTGCACTCCAGCCTGGGCTAGAGAGAGAAACTCCATCACAAAAAATAAAATAAGTGTGTGTATACACACACACACACACACAAATTAGCCGGACATAGTGGTACACACCTATAATCCCAGCTATTCAGGAGACTGAGGCAGGAAAATTGCTTGAGCCTGGGAGGTGGAGGTTGCAGTGAGCCAAGATCACTGGGCAACAGAGCAAGACTCCGTCTCAAAAAAAAAAAAAAATAGCTATAATTTTTTCAGGAGGGTAGCTGAGAAAGATGATTTCTGTTAACATTTTCCCTTGAAATTGGAAATATGATTTTAGCAAAGAAAGCAGAAAACATTTTTTACATTCAACCAGCTAAATGCCAAGTGTGTATTTCACCTAAGATTTCATAATGAATATGAATTATCCTAATCATATGCTTAGACCATTGCTCTTCAATTGAAACAATTAGTTTTCAATAAAATGTCACTTAAATTCAAATGTATAATTCAGGCCCGGTTCAGTGGCTCACAACTGTAATCCCACAGCTCTGGGAGGCCAAGGTGGGAGGATCACTTGAGGCCAGGAGTTCAAGAGCAGCCTGGGCAACATAAGGAGGCCCCATTTCTACAAAAGAAAAAATATTTACAATTAGCCAAGCATGGTGGCCTATGCCTGTAATCTCAGCTACTTGGGAGGCTGAGGTTGGAGGATCCCTTGAGCCCAGTAGTTCAAGGTTACAGTGAGCTATAATCACACCACACACTGCAGACTGGGTGACAGGGCAAGACTATCTCTCTAAAAAATAAAAATAAATTTAAAGATACATAATTCATACTCTAAACAATAATAATATTATTTCAGGCCGGTGTGGTGGCTCACGCCTGTAATCCCAGCACTTTGGGAGGCCAAGGCGAGAGAATCACCTGAGGACAGGAGTTTGAGACCAGCCTGACCAACATGGAGAAACCCCATCACTACTAAAAATACAAAATTAGCCAGGTGTGGTGGCATATGCCTGTAATCCCAGCTAGTCGGGAGGCTGAGGCAGAAGAATCACTTGAACCCAGGAGGCAGAGGTTGCGGTGAGCCGAGATCGTGCCATTGCACTTCAGCTTTGGCAACAAGAGTAAAACTCCATCTCAAAAAAGAAAGAGAGATTATTTCATTATTAATAGTGGGCAATGACACTTTCATAACTAAACAAGGCCGGGCACGGTGGCTCATGCCTGTAATCCCAGCATTTTGGGAGGCTGAGGCAGGCGGATCACCTGAAGTTGGGAGTTCGAGACCAGCCTAACAGACATGGAGAAACCCCATCTCTACTTAAAATACAAAATTAGCCAGGCATGGTGGCACATGCCTATAATCCCAGCTACTCAGGAGGCTGAGACACGAGAATCATTTGAACCCAGGAGGCAAAGGTTGTCATGAACAGAAATCCTGACATTGCACTCCAGCCTGTGCAACAAGAGTGAAACTGTTTCAAAAAAAAAAAAAAACAAAAAACTTTAAACAACAAATTAGTTCCTGATAATGAGCAGACATTAGGCAATTCTACATAACAGGCAGGAAACTACAATTCCTTTGAAAACTAAATAGGCTTCAGATTCATTTTCAGATTATGATCCTTGCAATAATTCTGGTACACTGCCTAAAATAAACCAGGCTATGCTTCTGTTGGAAAATAAAATGAAATAAAGCATTCACGTTGTTTCTGAAATCTGAGACATGACTCTAGCAGTCCTGAAGAGGATACTTCAAACATCAATATGCATAAAAATCATGTGGGGATCTTATAAAAATACAGGTTCTGAGTCAGTAGGACTGGAATGGATCCTGATAGTTCTAACGCGCTCCCATCTGATACTTATGCTGCTGGATTCATAGTGTACAGCATACCTGAGGCCCTACCCCTTGCTTCTACGACAATGGTAAAGATAATGGATAAAAATGTAAAGGAGGCAGCAATACCCACTTCATCTAGAAATGTTTTGGGATTCTTGAGAATAGCCCGGGAGAAGGATGGTTATTAAAATGTTCATGTTTAAGGGAAACACAACTTCTCAAAGACTGTGCGGAAGGGTCCTCAGAGTTTTGCTAAGGGCAAAAACCCAAAGAGCACTCACTAGGTGCCAGTGAATAGTCCTAAACACATCACATATATTAACTAATTCAATCTTCATAACAACCCTGCAACACTGTGAGGTAAGCACTATTGCTACCCTAATTTTAGAGGAAGTAAACCTGAGTCACAAAGACGTTACTTACACTGCACATAGCTAATAAGTGGCAGAACCAGGATCTGAGCACAGGCAGTCTGGTTCCAGGGTCTATGATTTTAATCACTATAGCAGCAATACATCAATCAAGAACACACAGCAGAAATGAAAAGGATACAAGGTTAAAGTGTAAAGCTTTACAGAACAAGAGTAAGTAACAGAGCCTAGACAGAGCACCAATGCTTAGTGAATACCATGACTTAACAATACAATTTTCTGTTCTGTTAGAAACTGTTCTGGGCTTTAACATAATGGCTAATGCCAAATCTTTGATTTTAAAAATATAAAAAAAAAAAAAAAAAGAGAAAAAGCAAAAAAAAAAAAAGGAAAAAAATAAAATAAAATTACAAGGAGAGACACCACATTGGTGGCAAAAAGCCTAGTTTCACTTCATGGAATAAGCAGTTTGAGACCAATGTCCCAGAAGAGCTCTGACATTCAGGACTTAAAATAGCAGCAGCAGCAGAGGTAGGTGAAATGGCAAGTAGTAAAAACATTTTTGGACTGAAGGGATGAGAAACTAAAAGTAGAAACCAGTAAGACACAAAGCATAACGTGACCAGGAATCTGATACGGTAGCGAATAAGTGGCAAAAATAAGCTATTTGCAAACAAAGAAATAGAGGAAGTTAAGGAAACAAACATTTAGTGAATAATTTTCAGGAGAATAAGAGAACTAGTCATCACAGAGTTCCTAAGTGATGGTAAATTGTCCAGATAGTGCAGCTGCAGAAGATACTGAACTAAACAGAAAAAGTCAAGCAAGAGTAGATTAGTAATCACTACTTCAATGAGCCCAAATAAAGATACGGCTGACCAAGCACAAAAGTTGTCTCAGGAAACACAGCACAAAAGCCCATGGAATATGCAGAAACAGAAAATGTTAACCCTCAGACATCATCAAATTCATTCATTTAAAAAATACTTCTTAAAACCTACTATATGTTTGACAGTATTCTAGGCATTAGCAATGGGGTGACCATGCCAGGTCAATGCCCTGCCCTCATGGAAGTTACAACCTAATGAAGAAATGTATGTGGAAGAGAACACTGAATGAGGCATTATTATAGAACCCCTTTAATACAGAGGAATATGTTTAGGGAAAATATGTTAACACAATATTTAACCCCATTCTCCCCTTCAAAGGAAGCCCTGCAACCTAAGGTGCTCATTAAGTGTTTCTCATCCTCTCAAAAAAAAAAAGACAAACTAAAATAGAGAAGTGCATTTAAAACACATCTATAAATAAAAGTACAACTTGTCTTTTACTTCCAAGAAAGCCTGTCCACAGCACAGCAGCTCATGTCTATAGCCCAGCACTTTCAGAGGCCAACAGGAGCAGATAGCTTGAGTCCAGACATTCCAGACCAGCCTGGTAATATGACAAAACCCTAACTCCACACACAAAAAAAAAAACACAAAAATTAGTCAGGCCTGGTTGCATGCAGCAGAAGTCCCAGCTACTGCAGGGGCTGAGATGGAAGGATCAGTTGAGCCTGGGAGGCCGAGGTTGCAGTGAGCTGTGATCACACCATTGTACTCCAGCCTGGACGACAGAGTAAACCCTATCTCAAAAAAAAAAAAAAAACCTCAACCAATTTTTAATTTAGGTCCCCATACTACTCTAGGCTATAACATCTGCCTTAGACTCCCAAAAAAATTAAGTTTAATAATAACAGGTGTTGGTTGTAACCTGAAAACATTTTAAGGGCAAACAGAGGATGTAATACCTTTTGGGTCTTGAAGACATTACTGAAAACAAGCTCATTTAATATTTAGTTGATTATCAGTCTCTTATCTCCATCTCAGTATAACAACTACACATTCAAACCAAGGTTATTTTCTAAAAGGAAGGACACAAATTGGTATTATTTAAAATCCTAAAACATAGCAAGCTCAAGAAAATAAGGCAGTAGATGCCTTCCAATTTTATATTCCTAAAATATCACATCAAGGCTAACAAATGTATTTCAGAAGATTCAAGTTCCACACCTATCCCATGGTCTGTAATGCCTACACACTACAGAAAGCTGCCTTGAACCAACACTCCTTTTGTTTAACAATCTGGTCTCTCTATAGAAATGACAAACGGTGGGAAAGCACTTGTTTCGACATGAACTATCTTTACAACAATGCATTACACAATTGGATCTCATTTGCTTTACATTGTTAACATTTTTCTGTGTTTAAAATTTAGGACGTAAACACTTATGGGAACAAAAATTGTGATCTCTGCTTGACCCCAGGAGTTCGAGACCAGCCTGGGCAAGATGGCAAAACCTGGTCTGTAAAAACACACACACACACACACACACACTAGCCAGGCGTAGTGGCACATGCCTGTAGTACCAGCTACTCAGAAGGCTGAGGTGGAGGATCACTTGAGCATGAGAGGCCGAGGCTGAGGTGGGCTGCACTCTAGCCTGGGAGTGCAATATCAATTATATTTAGTAACGTCTTTGAGACATTTTCTCAAAAAAAAAAAATTGTGATCTCAAAAGTATGAAAACATTAAGTTTTTTGCTTAAAAATCCAAGTCTCGTTTTTAGCAACAAAACTAAAGTGTCTAGCATAGACCAGGCGGTAACTGATCCTCTTTTCAACACACCTGCGCCACAAAAAGTGCACTTGAATCAACTTGGGGAGGTTCTCGGCATGCAGTAAGTCATAGAGGAGAAGTCAAACAGTCTGGGAAAGTCATGTTGGACCGAAAAAGTGTTCCCACAAATAAAAGCACTTCATTCTAGTATAGTCAAAGGGACCTCAATTTAAAGTTAATGCCCACACAAGGGGCTATGGACGGTGTTGTCTTGTACTTTATTCCCTGACACAAGCTAATCCTGGGATTTTAAACCTTCCTGGCTTTTAGGTGCATTGAAGGCGACGATGAACACAGTAACAAGGTTTCAAAACATCATCTGAATACGATGCGTTGGGAAGCAGGCAGAATAAGCCAAAGGGTGACTGACTAAAGCTGCAAAATGCGGTCTGGATTTCTAAGTCCCTGACTTGTAGGAGTTAAGTCTCACTCCTTATACTGCGATGACGTAATCTTCCACACTGCATCTCTCTTAGACTTAAAGGGGAGGAAAAACAAACGAACAAAGAAAATTTCCCCCCAATAAGAGGAATTAAGCAAGCAGCAGAACGACGGTTTCGGGAGGTGGTTAGGTAACTCCCCGAAAAGGAAGCTTCAGCTGAATCGGCAGGGAGCGCGCTGAAGAAGAGGACGGAAATGCTAGGAACTCGACCTCAGGCAGGAACAGAGCAGCCCGGGGCTCGGGGCCACCCGGCCCGGACGACGCGACCCGAGCGGAGGGGAGCGCCGACAGGCACCGCCGCGGGCAGCCCGCGAGCCGCCCTCCCGCCGCCGCCCCGCCGCGGCCGCAAAGCCGCTCCCCTCCCCCCGTGCCGCAAAATGTCCGCGGCTGCGCCTGGCGAAGCAGGAAGTCGGGCCGGAGCGCAAGGCACAGAACCCAGCCTGGGAGTCCCGGGGACCCGCGCCCGGCCCGCCCCAGGCGCCCGCGAGTTGCTGCGAGGCCCCCGGCACCCGGGCCCCTGCCGCCCTGAGGAGCCCGCGGGGCCGGGCTGGGGGGAGGGGAGCCCAGGCGCCCGGGATGGGTGTGACCCCTTCCTTCCGCCCCTGCCGGTGACAGCCCGATCCCGCTCGCGCCCCGAGCCCCGGCCGCGCGCCCCTCCACGGGTGGGAGCCCCCCGGCTCCCCGGCCGCGACCCCCGCCCCGGGTCCCCACAGAACGCGGACTTGCGCCCGCCCGGAGGACGCAGCTTGAGCCGGGCACTCCCCCGCGACCCGCGCTCCCAGGCCCCCCGAGATTTCGCAGACGGGGTGTCCCCGAGGACTGGGAGAGGACAGGGATGGCGGGGACGGAAGGGTGGGGGAACCGCTCCCGCTCCCGCAGGGAGCCTCAGGCCCCGCACTCACCTCAGCTTCTCCACCGGGGCGTTGGCAGCACTGCGCGGGGTCTCCTCGGCTGCCGGACAGGGGCACGCACCTGACGTCAGCGCGCAGGAGACGCACAGTTGGGTGCCCGCGGAAGTGGGAGGAACAGCGAAGGGGAAGAGGCTGGGGCGGGTCAAGGCGGTGCCTGGACTGCCCTGGCTCCGCCCGCCTGTCGAGCACGCGCGGGTCGGCGCCGCTGGAGTTCCGGGCTATGCTCCGCATCTTTTCCCAATGATTGTGTTTGTAATAATACTGGTAATGGTAGTTTGCAAAGAGCTTCCACTACCAGTTCTTTCTTGTTTGTTTTTCTGAGACACAGCCTCACTCTGTTGCCCAGGCTGGAGTGCAATGGCTCGATTTCAGCCCACTACAACCTCCACCTCTTGGGTTCAAGCGTTCTCCTACCTCAGCCTCCCAAGTAGCTGAGATCACTGGCACCTGCCACCACGCCAGGCTAATTTTTGTATTTTTAGCAGAGACGGAGTTTTGTCACTTTGCCCAGGCTGGTCTCAAACTCCTGACCTCAAGCTAGTGATCCACCTGCCTCGGCCTCCCCGAGTGCTAGGATTACAGGCGTTAGCCGCCGCACCCGGCCCACTACCAGTTATTTTGATCCCTGCAACCTTGTGAAGCAAGATATTTTCCTCCTATTTTGCAGAGAAGACGGAGGCTTCTCTGAAAGGGCTGGTGACTTGCCCCAGATCAGAGGGATGGATAGCCTTTCATTCCCCCTGGCCTGTATTCAGTCCGATGTGACGTGAGAACTGAATACGGCTCTTCTTATCTCTACCTACACCCCAGTGTCCCTTGCTGTAGCCACATTGGTCACATGAGTTACAATCTTCCCCCCAACCACAGTCCTTGATTTTGTTTGTTTTAGACAGTCTTGCTCTGTCACCCAGGCTGAAGGGCAGTGGCATGATCTCAGCTCACTGCAGCCCCGACCTCCCGGCAATTCTCCCACCTCAGCCTCCTGAGTAGCTGGGACCACAGGCACATGCCACTGTGCCTGGCTAATTTTTTATTTCTTTGTAGAGACGAGGTTTTGCTGGGTTGCCCAGGCCGGTCTCGAACTCCTGGATGCAAGTTATCAGCCTGCCTCAGCCTCCCAAAGTGCTGGGTTTACAAAGTGTGAGCCATTACAAGGTGTGCGCCAAGGCCTTGAACTTTCTTTGCTCTGCCTCCCTCCTCTTCCCCTGACTTTTGGTTGTCTCTCTCAACCCTCAAATATCACTGCTTTCTCCAATCATCCTATCTTCACAGTATCTGTTTATTATTTGTTTTCTCTGCTAGTCTGAAAGCTTCAGGAAAGTAGAGAACTTCCCTTTCTTATTCTTGAGATGTTTCCCTATGTTAGAGAAAAATAGCTTAAATAGCTTGTCTTAATAACAGCTCATTTATTGATTACTGCCACAGCTATTTGGCCAAAAAAGACACTTAATTCCAGTGTATTTGACTTAATAGTCATACTTTCTTTTGGATTTTTTCATTACACAAGAGTAAGAACTACATCTTTTAGCGTTTACTGCCAGTATGGCTATAGCTTTGCAGGTAGTAGTAGCCAATTTAATACTCACAGCCTCCCTATGAGTTAAGAACTGTTACCCTCACTTTATAGTTGCATGAACTGAAGTTCAGAGGTGTTAAGATTTGCCCAAAGCCACCATGCCAAGCAGTGGCAGAGCTAAGACCTGCACTCAGGAGGTTGGACCTAGTTGCCTATGACAGTATCACACTACGAAGCAGGTTTATTATAAAGAAATCAGAAGATAAACTTCAGGCAGGTACAGTGGCTCACACCTGTAATCCCAGCACTTTGGGAGGCCAAAGCAAATGGATCACCTGTCAGGAGTTCAAGACCATCCTGACCAACATAGTGAAACCCTGTCTCTACTTAAAAAAAAAAAAAAAAAAAAAAGCTGGGTGTGGTAGTGGGCACCTGTAATCCCACCTACCTGGGAGGCTAAAGGAGAATTGCTTGAACCCAGGAAGCATAGGCTGCAGTGAGCCGAGATCACATCATTGCATTCCAGCCTAGACAAGAAGAGTGAAACTCTGTCTCAAAAAAAAAAAAAAAAAGGCCGGGCACAGTGGCTCACACCTGTAATCCCAGCACTTTGGGATGCCGAGGCAGGTGGATCACCTGAGGTCAGGAGTTTGAGACCAGCCTGCCAGCCTGACTAATATGATGAAACCTCGTTTCCACTAAAAATACAAAAATTAGCCAGGCATGGTGGCATGCACCTATAATCCCAGCTACTCAGGAGGCTGAGACAGGAGAATTACTTGAACCCAGAAGACAGAGGTTGCAGTGAGCCAAGATCATGCCATTGCACTTCAGCCTGGGCAACAAGAGTGAAACTCCATCTCAGTGAAAAAAAAAGAAGTTAAGCTTCAGCTGTAGTCCTACATCTAATGATACCAACTGCTAACATTTTGTTGTACACCTTCCCAGACTTTTTTCTATATACATATGTTTATTAGACAAAAATAAGATTGTAATCACCTTTTCTATCTCAAAACTACATTGTGAGGCTAGGCACAGTGGCTCACACCTGAAATCCCAGCACTTTGAGAGGTCAAGGTGGGCGGATCACTTGAGCCCAGGAGCTCAAGACCAGTCTGGGCAACATAGCCAGACCCCCCACACCAATCTCTACAAAACATACAAAAAAAAAACAAAAAAACTATACTGTGAACATCTTTCCATGTCAAATAAAGCATCATTTGTAAAGGCTGCACTTTATTCTCTGGGCATTACAATATTTACCCAGATACCTACTGTTGGAATGTGGGTTGTTTTGGACTATTGTAAATTTATTACTATTATAAAAATGCATAAGCTTCATTTTCTAAAGTTGAGGGGAAAATGGTTGTTACTTCCCTTCATGAGGCCAGCTGGCAGTGCTCTTTCCTTCATCCTGCCTCACAGTCCCATGAATGTCCCCAGACAATGTCTGCCCTTTCCAGCAGCATCAATATCTTGATGGGGTGTCACCCAACCGCTCAGCTTTTCCTGCCTTTATTCTGAGGACAAGGACTTACTTAGCACTGTGTCTTTTATGTTATCAGGTTTTTTGTCAGAAGAACCCTCCCAGACCTTTTCACAGCCCCAAACAACAGTGGCAATGGGGTTACTATTACGTGACCCCGATCTACCATTTCCTTCACTGCCGGCCCAGCCCCCAGCCTCCTAGTACCTTTCCCGCTGCCCCACTGCCTCACTTCTATAGCTGCCTCCTGTTAACAGGAAGGCCAGCCTGTGGGGCTCCAGCTCCCCTTCCCCTGTGGCTGCCATTCCAGTGTCTATTTTTCCTTCTGGTAACAGTGCTTCCATTTCTTCTGGAGCAGCAGCCCCTGCTCCAACTTTCAATCCATGTGGCTCTAGAGGAGATGACACCATCTCCAGTTGCAGGGATGGACACACGGCACAGGCTTGGCCAATCACAGCATTATAGAGAGCCCTGTTGCCACACCATTTCAGTAATGGGCATATGATTCAATGGATTTAATTCTGAAACTTTGGTTAGAACTCTTCATTGAATCTATTTGCTGAGGGTAGGATGTAATCATGGCACTGCTGGCAGCCAGCTTCCCACTGCGAGTAGAGAAGCTACCTGAGAATGAGACCAAGACAGAGGGGGAAACAGAACTGGGAGATGGAGACATGAAACCAAGTCCCAGTGGCATTGCATGAGCCATTGGATCCAGTCTTGCTTCAGTCTTCAGTCACATTAGCAATAAATTCCCTCTACTGCCAGAACCAGGTTGAGTAGGTTTCTGTCACTTATATAACTGCCAAACTCTTGATGAATCACTCTGCCACCCCTGCCCTTCTTGTCTGTCCATGAGGTACTTGTCCCTACCCTCTAGGTGATGACTACCAAATCTATACCCCTTCCAACCCCTATTCCCACCCCATTTTCAAATTTCCAGCTATTGAGCACCATCAAAATTGTCTTCCAGGCTGAGCGCGGTGGCTCATGCCTATAATCCCAGCACTTTGGGAGGCCAAGGTGGTGGATCACAAGGTCAGGAGTTTGAGACCAGCCTGGCCAAGATGGTGAAACCCCATCTCTACTAAAAATACAAAAATTAGCCAGGCATGGTGGAGCATGCCTGTAATCCCAGCTACTCAGAAGGCTGAGGCAGAAGAATCACTTGAACCCAGGGGGCAGAGGTTGCAGTGAGCAGAGATCGTGCCACTGCACTCCAACCTGGGTGACAGAGGGAGACTCCATCACAAAAAAGAAAAACAATCGTCTTCTAGCTCCCACCTACTCCGGGGTCTAAGCACCTATGTCTGCTCTTGGCCCTATAGCCTTATACATCCAGGAGTTCCCAACCTTTTCTGCATCACAGATCCTATACTCACAAAATTCATATCTAATTTCTAGAGACTCACTTCAAGCTCTCTGCTTTAAGCCAGACAAAGTGACTTATGCCTGTAATCCTAACACTTTGAGAAGCTGAAGCAGGAGGATCACTTGAGCCCAGGAGTTTGAGACCAGCCTGGGCAACATATTGAGACCTCATCTCTACAAGAAATATAAAAATTAATGATGTGGTGGTGAGCACCCATAGTCCCACCTACTTGTGGGCGCTGAGGTGGGAGGGTCACTTGAACCCGGAGGGTTGAGGCTGCAGTAAGCCATGATCATGCCACTGCACTCCAGCCTGGGTGACAAAACAAGACCCTGTCTCAAAAAAATAAATAAAAAGAATCTCTGCTTTAATTCATTTTACAAAGCACAGCATTTATCTTCCTAGATCATAGCTCTGATTAGGTCACTCCCTCACTCAGAAACCTTCAGTGTTTTCTCCTTTGTCTTCAGAATACAATTTAAGACTTTTTTTTTTTTTTTTTTTTTTTTGAGACCGAGTTTCACGCTCA